AAAAGCTGCAAAAGGTTTTAATAGGATGTTTGGGTTTTGGTCTTCAGGGGCAGCTTTGATGAATCTGCTGCTAAATTCTGCGTGGGCTGTGTCACGGAGGCTTTCGAGTACCTCCACCGGAAAGGTGTGCTCTACAGAGACCTGAAGCCTGAGAACCTCATTCTGGATTCTGAAGGATACATCAAACTGGTGAGATTAGTTCCAGAAACTAAACGCATTTTGTCTCAGAACCATGAAAGAACAGCAGCATGTTCCTCCTGCTTTGATGACCAGTGCATTTCTTATAGTTTGGAGTCATCAGGCTTAATCAAAATGTGTGTTTCCAGACTCCAGGATGAAACCGTTTTGGTCTTAATTGCGACCAAAAAAGTCTGTCAGGCACAACTAAACGTTTCCTTTGGTCACACCTGTGTGTGTGCCTGACATTTGGCAGGTCTGTGTAAGCGTTTTGCTTTGTTTTTTTCTCCACCCACGTTCTGCGTCATCCATTTAAATGCTGTGCAAATTGATGCAGCTAATCCCTCTGCTCTGAGCTCTACCGTGCCCTGATCTGTGACTCACAGGTGCTTTTAGGGTTTGTGGCTTGAGTCACAAGTTTAGTGATCTGCCGAGTACGTCATGTATTAGTGACATATGGTTAATTATTCACTAATATAAGTATGGGAGCACGGTAGCACAAGGGTTAGCAAGAAGGTCCTGGGTTCGACTTCTGGCCGCTGTCTTAATAACGTGCACCAGTGCGTCCAGTATTAACTATAGTTTAAATAGTTTGGTAGTAAGCAATTAAAAGGGCTACTAAAAGAAGGGGGGGAGCACTAACTACAGTTTTACTGGTTACTGGCACATTTACTGAAAGCAAGTCATGAACACCACGTCTGCTGACCCAGCAGGGCAGTGAACAAATGCTCTGACAAGCTAGTTATGGATACAGTCAGTAGAAAAGATAAGAAAACAATGAATTAGGGAGAAATTCATGTCACATAACACATTTTTTGTTTCTTTTTCATGTGTCTGATAAAACTGCTTAGACGTCAGGATGTTTTATGACATCTAAGCAGACATAAGCAGCGCAGTGGTTTCTTAAAGAGTAAGGCTTTTAATGTAGGCAGGTATTTTTGTGGAAAAGCCTTAAAGGCTCCCCAGAGGACTTTTAAAAGTTTCAATATTACTCTATACTTGTATGCTGACAGGCTGACAGTAAACATCTCTTTAAAGACTAAACTCTCCTTTTCCAGGTCGACTTTGGCTTTGCTAAGAAGATCAGATGTGGCCAGAAGACTTGGACCTTCTGTGGCACTCCAGAGTATGTGGCACCAGAGATCATCCTCAACAAAGGCCACAACTTCAGCGTGGACTTTTGGTCTTTGGGCATCCTGGTGTTTGAGCTTCTTACCGGCAGGTTAGAGCACGCGTTCTTCTGTGATTCCAATCTGCAGCGAGATCATCCTTTCACTCTGCCCACTGACCTGCAGTCATTTTTACACGAAGTGCTGCTAAAAGCTTGCTGAATATCTGCCGATTCTTTTTTCACTCCACAGTCCTCCGTTCTCAGGAATTGACCAGATGATGACGTACACTTTCATCTTGAGAGGCATTGAGAAGATGGACTTCCCGAAGAAGATAACAAAGAGACCGGAGGACCTCATACGCAAGCTATGCAGGTACACATGTGCAGGCCGACATACCTGAAGCTTAAGTAGACACAAAATCCTCGATTCAGATTTTCAGAACAGAGTCTGATGATGGCTGATGTGCTCAGTATACCTGACACCCAGGTACATTAAACAGTTTTCTTCAAGCTCTGAACAACAGAGCAGGAAAACATAACCCAACCTTCTTGGAACTAACACAGTAATTTGGTGAAGAGTTAATTTCCTGACTTTGATCTGTTTTATAGGCGGAACCCCTCAGAGCGACTGGGTAATCTCAAAAATGGAATAACTGATATTAAGAAGCACAGGTAAGTAGGAACTGACTCGTTTGTTGTGGATCTCAGCGGGAAGATTAGTTCCACAAATTAGCACTGATTGAACATTATGGATGAAGGCTCGTGGTTTATAGCCTTTACAATTAGATAATCACTGAACAGCGTGCGAGAGCAGGATGCAAACGTCGTCAAGGCTTATCGAATGATTGAACTTGCCACTTGCCTTTTTCCTTTACGAAGACGGCACGAGGCTACCGCATTACAGGAAACAATATATATTACTGTCATAAATCATATCATGCAGGGATTAATATGTTGTTCTTAAACGTGATGCTGACCTAGTTCTCATTTTCTGTACTGAGCCAGGAATAGAAGTCAAAGTCCAAGTAAAATGTACAGAAAGTGACATTTAACAACCAGTCGAATCACTGTTCAGACTTTAAATTGGGACGTTTCCTACTTTGCGTTTGTTCTGACAGAGTCAAACTCATATATGTAAATGTGAGAAGATAAATACACTTATAGATGTGTGTTTTCTCTAATGTATCTGAAGGTGGTTTAATGGCTTCAACTGGGAGGGGCTGAAGGCAAGGACGTTACCATCGCCACTGAAAAGAGAAGTAAGCTGTGATCAAACTTGTAAAACTTGTGGTTCCACGTCGTGACTGAAGCGTGATTAAACTTTCAGAACAAAATATCTGTTTGCTGTTTAAAGTGTGCAGGAGACCTGTAGGCAGATTAGCCGCTGAAACAATGATCGCGGGACTTTTTAAAAGTCAAGCGTCCCGACGTCACTTCGGCTGTCTCCGTCTCTCCTTTTGTTGTCTGAGCTGCACTTCAGTGTGAAGGCCGGGACAAAAGATAAAAGCAGCTACAGCAGACAGGATGAGGCAGCTCCCAGAGCAATTTTATATTTGTCAGATTCACCATTTCATTTACACCAACATGCTGCCCATCTTTAGTTCACTTCTAGCTCTTTCTTCCAGCCTCCTCTCTGCAAAATCTCTCAGGAACTTTGATGGAGTTCAGATTTATTTTTCATCCAGTTTCCATTTGTTCTGCTTTTCTTAATCTAGCGTGTGCTGATCAGAGAT